CGCTGACCCCATTCGAATTTAGAAACCCAAGAGATGCACTCAGAAAAACATTAGAAATATGTAGTCAGGGGATAAATAGAACTGAGAAAGTACAATATAATATAACAACGTGTTTTTATTAGGTTTTGTAGTATAGTTCCGTTTGAAAAAGGCTTTGCTGTTTGGGCAAGTTAAGTATTGTTAATAGGTTAGAACTAAACTAGAGTGAAGTAATCACCTAGGAATATTTGATTGTAGAAGACATTTTGTTCTTATTTTTTAAGTTATTGCCTTTGTAATAATATATCCCACAATATTTTAAACACAATAATTAAGGAATTTTCATAAATAACCTAATAACTCTCTAAATTAGTCAGGCGCCACTTTTAATAAGAGTGTAGGCGTGGGTTTCCTGGAGAGGGCCGCCTCCAATCGGCCGATCAACTTGGACCCAGAGTCCAGGAAAGTGTAAGACTCATGGCACGAATTGGAATTGTTGTCTGGGCCATTGTTCTGCACGGCATGCAATTAAAACATTGACAGAGACTGCCTTTGTTTTATTTTGTGTGGTTTCTGCCACGGCTGCCGATGGATGCGGATTTGCATGCTGCAGCTGTAGCTGGCCTTTTCCACAAAAGGTTGGGAATGACTCGGTTTAGCTTGGCTTAGACGGCAGAACGGGGCCGCAGACAAATTCATTATGTAAAGCTAACCATTACTGTCGATTCGGTCTGTTTACATAAGTAGCTTGCAAATTGGTCAAATATGCCGATGCCATAAAACAATTATGAGACTTTTCACGCTTTTGCGCGCCTTGAGCACACGAATTTGAATCTAAAACAGTGTTATTGTGCTCAGATTTTCAGCTCGGGGTTTGGTTCGGCATTTGGTGGTTGGGCCAATACCATATAGTACACATAATACCCAAATAGCCGGGCCTGAGCAATGAACATGTTCGTACTAAAATGTCGCAATAAATAATAATGAATGCGCACCAAAACGGTGATGAAACCTGTTGTGACCATAAGTGAGCCCAAGGAGTCGGAGTCCAGATCGATCGGCTGCCGCAAAAAATGCAAAGTGTTCCAGTTGTAGTTCACCTGCCGTCTCCGTCTGCAGCCGGCGAACATGAAATGTGTCCAACGTGTCCAACGTGTCCAAGTCGCTAGTGTTGCCTCCACGTTGCAGCCGATGGGATACATACAATGCACGCTCTTTTGGCCGTTTGCAACTGCAGGTACCTCTGCAAAAAGTTAGGTTTTTATGTGGGTTACCATACCAGCACCACATAAATATGTACGAAGCTGAATGTGTTAGGAGTGCTAACCACTTTTCCCATGTAGTTCAGGATGCCATAACGAAAGATTGTCGATTGCCGTACATGGCGCAGACCTTGGACTACAATATTCACGATTGATATGTCTTATTTCGAACAGGAAAAACAAATTCCTTACCTCTAGAGCTAAAGGAATGTTGTTAGCAAAATGATATTCTATCGATGGTCTATTGGTCAAGCAATCGTCTTGGTTCATTAACAATTTATTTTAATTTCCTTAATTAAGAATGTCCTCTTTTGAAGTCGACCTATTTATCTAATGTTATATGTGCTTTAAGTGTTATTTTGAAACTAAACCTAATTTCTTAATAATTTTCCATTTCAATTGTAGATGTTTGGGGCACAAGATATTTTGCTCTTGGCCCTTTTGGGATTCGTCCCAAGTGCACTTGGGCTAAAAGTTTCCTCTGGCTATCATATAGTCCACAATCCTCAACCATCTTTTCAACACAACTATCATGGATTTAGTTACCTTCAAGGCTCAGCTCCATATGTGATTGGGTAAGTTGTGGAAGCTCCCTTTCCTTTCCCTGTTTTTTAAACACTTAAATATATATTAGGAATAGCCTGCCCACTTCTCCGGCTGCCCAGAATCCGTTTTCATCGCCGGCAAGTCCTCCGGTATCAGCTTATGGCTACAGTTTTCCCACTGCCGGTCAAGTGGCATGTGCTGCTCCTCCGGCAATTTGCGAGAAGACTGCGTACCGCACTTTGGACGGTTCCTGCAATCACTTGGAACGTCCTGGCTTGGGAGTGGCCAACTCCAGGTAGCATCTATTAAATAACTTAAAGTTGTTTATGCTTTAAAACTATTGTACCTTTAAGGTATGGTCGTCTGGTGACACCCAAATACGCCGATGGTATATCGGCACCCACTAGATCGGTAACAGGAGACGAACTCCCCAGTGCTCGTCTGGTTTCCTTGGTGGCTTTCGGAGAACAGGATGTGCCCGATCCAGAGTTCACACTGCATAACATGCAGTGGGGTCAGATCATGACGCACGATATGAGCATGCAGGCAGGAGGAACTCAGTCGAGTAAGATATGATTACTTTTGATTTCAAAGAAAAAGTTCTTTAATCTCTAATCCCAATAGAGAAGCATCCCACTCGTTGCTGCACCGACGATGGACGTCTGATTGGCCTGGACACCGCCCACAAGACCTGTTTCGCCATCATTGTGCCTCCCCACGATCCGGCCTACTCCCAGGTGGGCACCGAGTGCCTCAATTTTGTGCGCACCCTGACGGATCGGGACTCGAATTGCCAGTATCGCGGCGGTCCGGCAGAGCAGATAACGGTGGTCACCTCGTACCTGGATCTCTCACTGGTCTACGGCAATTCCATTCAGCAAAACAGCGATATCCGTGAGTTCCAAGGCGGCCGGATGATCGTGGAGGAGCGCAATGGAGCCAAGTGGCTGCCACTTTCTCGAAATGTCACCGGCGATTGTGATGCCGTGGATGCCAGCGAAGTGTGCTACCGATCTGGAGATGTGAGGGTCAACCAGAATCCGGGACTGGCCATTCTCCAGACGATCCTGCTACGAGAGCACAACCGCATTGCAGATGGTTTGTCTGCACTGAATCCTCACTATGATGATCGCACGCTGTTCCAGGAGGCTCGCAAGATCAATATCGCCCAGTATCAACAGATCAGCTACTACGAATGGCTTCCCATCTTCCTTGGTGGCGAGAACATGCTCAAGAACCGACTTATCTACAAGGCTCCGTCTGGCAACTATATCAACGACTTCGATCATACCATCGATCCATCGGTTCTGAATGAACATGCGACGGCCGCTTTCAGATACTTCCACTCCCAGATTGAAGGTCGTTTGGAGTAAGTAGAGATTTTTTTTAAGATTAAGATATAACTGTTGTATATACAAAAATGTCAGATAAATATTATAAAAAAGATAGACATGAATTGCATTGGGTATTGTTAATCTAAAAATCTTTTTACAGCCTTCTCTCCGAGCTGCGACAAGTTTTGGGATCCCTGACCCTCAGCGACTGGTTCAACCGTCCCGGCATTATCGAGGTGGGAGATAACTTTGACTCGCTGACCAGAGGACATGCCACACAGCCCGAGGAACTGACGGATATCAACTTTGACAGACAGGTGGGTACACCTATATGAATATAAGCCAACTCTTCATACTGTCATAATTTTCCTGTTCAGATTAAGCACTTCCTGTTCAGAAGAAACATGCCTTTCGGTTCGGATCTGCGATCCCTGGACATTCAGCGCAACCGCGATCACGGTTTGGCCTCATACAATGATTTGAGGGAGTTCTGCGGACTGAAACGTGCCCACTCGTGGGAGGAATACGGTGACCTGATCAGTCCCCAGATTCTGGAAAATCTAAAGTCCTTGTACGTGAGTCACGAAGACGTGGATTTGACTGTGGGAGCCTCGTTGGAGGCCCATGTGGCCGGCGCTTTGGCTGGACCCACCTTCCTTTGCATTCTAACCGAACAGTTCTACAGAACGCGAGTGGGCGATCGGTTCTTCTTCGAAAACGGAGACAAGCTCACTGGATTTACTCCTGGTAATTACAAATATTTACTCCAAATAATTTCAAAGAATATAACCATATGTATCATATCACAGATCAACTGGAAGAGCTACGTAAGGCAAGTATGGCCCGTTTGCTATGTGACAATGGCAACCACATTTCATCTATGCAGCCTGAGGCTTTTAGAACTGTTTCTCATTCGTAAGTAGAAAGAAGAGTTTTATAATATTGAAAGTTCATTAAACTACTGATTAATTACAGGAATCCCATCATGCCGTGCTCGAATATTCCAGTAGTCGACCTGACCAAGTGGATTGATCAAAAGCCATATGCATCGGTAGATCCGTCTCATTACGGAAAGAAGTGATCCCTAGCGATCTATTATTAACTAGTTAAATACAAATACCTTTAGCTTAATCAGTAACATAAACGTAAATGCAATTCCCACTCCCCCTTGTATGATAATGCCCCAAACTGATGTACAGAAATAAATCCCTTACCAATTAAATAATCTGATTGACTTGAATTTCGGTTCGAAAGTAGAGATACTACAGAGCTGATACCCATGTCAAAGGCATTATAAATGTCGAAGATCAAGAATAATACCCAGTCACGCCCTCTTCTTACGCAACATGAACAGATAATGAATCGTCGGACCCCGAAACCTTTACACTTTCGTTGACTTTGGGATCACTCGGGTCTATCGGGGTTAATCATATGTAGGCGCGCGACCGAGGTGTGAACAACTTGATAGAAACGGCCAATTAAGAGACAAAACGACATTTTTCTGCCAACTTTGACTCTTTGTCGACTCGAATCGTAAAGACAAACAATCGACAACAAAGAATTTGTTCTTTTTTGCAAATATCTTCGGTATTCATATGCGAGTTTACATATTAATACTTCAGAGGCGGTCCACTTTTTGAATGGGCATAAATATACATAAGTTAAGAGAGAACATCGGAGGTATCGTCATCCCGACCAAGTTTGCATATTTTCCGAGAGATTTGGCGAGCAGATTTCTGAATGGACATGATATAACGGTTCTGGTGAATCTAGATTAATGAAAGTGATTTAAACAAAGTGTGCATACGAGATTAACAGTTCATAATGCGGTATAAAAGTGATCCATTCGATGGCGAAAGGCAGCAGATGCCATTTCGCCATGAGACTGTTCGCAGTGATTTTCTGGCTAGGTAAGGGATTTCCCCCAGATGGACTTTAAACGGATTTCTAAATGCAAATTATCACCTTTCCAGGCTGGGCTTTTGGCCAAGCCAGTGCCAAGAACTCGGGTTCCGAGTCCCCCAGATTGCTAGCCTCTTTCCAATCAGCTCCAGCACCGGCGCCAGCACAAAGTGTGATCTACAAAATACCATCGCAGCACTACTACCCACCACCTCCTCCTCCTCCACCGCCACAGCACTGCAGCTGTCCACCGGGACCACCTGGCCCGCCGGGACCACCAGGATTGCCTGGATTACCTGGTGAACCGGGTCCCAAGGGACACACTGGGTCGAAGGGCGAACGTGGGGAGAAGGGAGACCGCGGACATTATGGATTACCGGGCGCCCAAGGCCTACCGGGACCCATTGGACCACCTGGACTGCCCGGGCCACCCGGTCACAAATCGAAAAATGATTACCATGACCACGACCACGACCACGGTCACCACCACCACCATCACCATACCCAACCGCCATCCCCACCACCACCACCTCCACCATCTTATCCACCAGCACCACCACCAATCCTGCCGCCTCCAATTATAGTTCCCATTCCGATTCCAGCCCCGCAGAAAGGTGGTCATGATAATCACCAAAAGGGATCCAAGGGACCACCCGGCCCACCAGGTCCACCGGGTAAGTAATTTAAAAATATCAAAATCAAAACATAACTTTAGAAGTTGTATGCCTATATACTATGTACATTAGGGCGGTCCACGTTTTTAAGATGCTAAGTTAAAAAAAAATTGGACTTTGGGTCTGCGCTGGGTCTCCAAATTTATTGCTCATACGCACTGTTGTCTTTGATCAAATATATTTATTTTGCATTCATAGGTGGCTCCGACTACGGTCTATTTTATTAAATTCGTTTGTCACCTTTACAACCAAAAAATACTCTGTAAAAGTTGGGAATGGTAAATCGAGTTTTTACAATTTTAACTGGCTTAGGAGTCGTATGAGTAATTTGTTTCAGAGAACTGCGCAACGCCTTAGTGTAAATGTAATACTCAGTTTTCAAAAAATCCTAATCTATCAAGAAAACCGAGGAGAATAAGATCTATAAATTTTATTTTTTACTTAAGATTTAATTTTTAAATACCCAATCAAATACATTTTTTCTGCCTTATATGTATTTTTGACGTTTAATTTATTTATAATAAAATCTTAAATCGCTTGCAGGAATGGGAACACCTGGTCTTCCAGGGCCGCCTGGGAATACGTATCCACAGCCACCTCCTCCTCCTCCGCCTCCACCTCCACCGCCGCCTCAGCCAGCGTATCCACCCTACCCGTATCCTTACCCCCCACCCGGACCCTATCCCGGTCCAGGTTCTTGGATTCCTGTGCCAGTTCCAGTGCCATGGCCATCGAAAGGACACAAGGGCGACAAGGGTCACAAAGGAGGCAACAAAGGAGACAAGGGTGGACACCACCATCACTACTATCCACCAGGACATAACAAGGGCGGTCAATATCCGTATCCACCCTACGACGGCGGACATGGTGGCCACCATCATCCAGCCCCTTATCCACCCCCATACCCACCTCCATACACTCCTCCTTACCCACCACACTATCCACACGATGGCGGTGACAAGGGGCATCATAACCACCACCATCCGTCCCACAATCATGGAGGAGGCAATGGTGGGCACAACCATCATCATCCGTCCCACAATCAAGGAGGAGGCAATGGTGGGCACAACCATCACCATCCGTCCCACAATCAAGGAGGAGGCAATGGAGGCCACAACCATCACCATCCGTCCCACAATCAAGGAGGAGGCAATGGAGGACACAACCATCACCATCCGTCCCACAATCACGGAGGAGGGAACAACGGACATAACCATCATCATCCGTCCCACAATCATGGAGGGGGAAACGACGGACATAACCATCATCATCCATCCCACAATCATGGAGGTGGAAATGACGGACATAGCCATCATCATCCATCCCATAATCATGGAGGGGAAACGACGGGCACGGCCAACACCATCCGTCCCACAATCATGGAGGAGGAAACGACGGGCACAGCCAACATCATCCGTCCCACAATCATGGAGGAGGAAACGATGGGCACAGCCAACATCATCCTTCTCACAATCATGGAGGAGGAAACGACGGGCACAGCCAACATCATCAAACTAATGGAAATAGTGGAAACAAAGGTAATAACGACAGTGCAGGAGCTGGTTCAGAAAAACCCTCTGAGCCAAATGACAGTGGCGAGCAAAATCCCCGAGATGTTCTGGAACTGCAGGATGAAGATGTGGAGATCGTCGAGAACATAATCGATGACAATGACTTTATGGAGGTCGAGGAAGAACAGCCTTTTGAGACAACTGATACAGAAACGGAACCCGAGGATGCAGGCTATATAGATAACACAGTGGAGAATGAAACATCTCCTGATTCAGTTGAAGAACCAATTGAGGAAGATACAACTTTAGGTGAAGAAAACTATTTCGAACCAGGTGAAGAGGAAGAATTGATAGAAGAAGAACCTATAACGGAGGATCAGATGGACATGGTAAATGATAACCAGACCTTTGAGGGATACACGATCGAAGAGCGAAACAACAAAAGGCCAATTATCCTGGCCGTTGGAACTCCAAGAAACCCATTTCACATTTATGCCTATGAACAGTATATTTAATACATAAGCAAGCCAATGATACACAACAATAAAAAAATTTTAAACATGTTACTTTTTAGTGTTCTTCTTTTAATTAGTACGGTATCAATAAAATAGGGTTTTCACATACCATAAAATAAATGGGGAATTCCGTATACATACTATATGTATTGTCCAACCTCTTTCTAAGCAATATGATGTTCTAGAAGGATTTAGCTCATTCATAATAATTAATATGCAACCGAGAGTTAATCTTCTCGAACTCGTGTGGCATAAAAGGTAAAATAAATTAGCAATAAAATAGCTTTTTGTTAACTGGCGAAATAGTTCCGTTGTTCTTGGAATTTGCTTTGCTTTGTGTGTTTTTCAAAAAATTAACAATGAAGAAAGGCATGAAAAGTGAAATCACAAAGAAATAAAAAAATTAAATCAATGACGAACGAATGAATTTGTCAATACAATATCATTTTTCAAAATGTTGTTAAAGCTTATATTGTTAAAGCTTATCAGCCATACAGGAAAAATTGGTTAGTTCATAGATATTTTGCAGATCTGAAATGTATGACTCGTAGCCAGTTTTTGCAGTTGACACGCTGTAACAAAATAATGAAAAACCGGGACAACGGACAAGAATAAAATATGTATGGCGAAAAAAGATTAGCCCAATATTTAAATCAATATGATATACCAAAAATAACAAGAATTTCCAAATGTATTTATTTTAAGACAGTTTAAAGATTCCTTGCACCTTATTGATCCACTATTTTATTACCTTTCATAACTCTGCGTGTCTCCGCTCGAATTTCGCTACTTGAAATCAATTTGTATGATCACCATAAAATAAACAATCTATAAAAGAAGAAAAGTTAGATCGTTCTATTTTTGCGGTATCTCATTTTTATTGTTCCAAAATAAGTAAAACAATGGGTGCAAAAATGGAACCATGAATGAATGGACCTTATGAAAATCGTGTCAATATAATTAAAGTTAAGTAAAACAAAACAAATAGATCATTGACGTCATTGAAATCCATGTTAGTGAAATTCGACCACTCTTCGGTTTAGATTATGCAAAACCATTAAACTGTCTGAGATCTGCGATTTAAATTTCACGTGTTTCCAATTAACCCATTAAGACCATCGAAGGTGTCTATAAAAGACGGCTTCTAAGTCGGACAGGTGTTCATTCACGAATGTTGGGCCTCAAAATGATGCTGCTGACGGTTCTGCTGTTATCAGGTTAGCCAAGAGTAAATCAAAGTTTAAGAACATTTCTAGCTTTTATTAAATTTTGTGTTTTTAGCCATTTCAACTTTCTGCGAGGGATCGTGGACTTTGAGCTCAGTTCAGCCGGTCAAAACTGAGTCCCGTCCAAAGGCGAAAAAGCCTGTTTATGACCTGTACTATTACAGTCCGGAAACGTTAGGCTCATCCTTTTACTATGGATCTCAGACGAATTGTCAGTGTCGTCCAGGGCCTCCCGGGCCACCTGGTCCACCTGGAACTCCTGGCTTGCCAGGTGAGCAAGGACCGCCCGGTGAAAAAGGCGACCGTGGGGATCGTGGAGAACGTGGAGAGCGAGGAAGAACGGGCAGACCGGGCTATACTGGATTTCCGGGACCCATTGGACCACCAGGTTCCCCCGGAAAATCTCCATTACATCGGCATAAGCAAGGTCCGACAATCATTTATTTACCAGCAATTACAGACGACAAGCCACCTAAAAAGAAGTCACAAAGGGAAGCAATGGAAATACATCATCAAAACCTGATAACAGAAAGGTTGTCTTAAAAAAAAATAAACCTCAGGCACCGCAGCCCTTGCGGGGTAATTCTAATGGAATTAACCTTCTAAAAGCGGGTTCGCAACTGACCAAAAACCACAAAAACCTAAATCGCAAGAGACCAACTGCTTCCCCACATTCTAATCGCAAGAGAATCATTCAGAGCAACAAGGCAAACACATCAAATAAGAACAGAAAAACATTGACTAATTCACAAAAACATAAAACAAGTACGGTAATTCGCCAACAAACTCCTAAACGAAAGGTAATTAAAAAAAAAACTACAACAAATAAAACTAATTCGAGCACTTCAAATCGTCGGCCATCGGCTCCCAAAAACAAGGGATCAAAATTTGTGGAGAAACCCAGTTTAACAAATGCAAATGCCAGCATTAATTTGGATATCGCTCAAGTCAGATTGGAGCTAAAGAAAAAAGTAACCATTGAAGGTGTAAAAAGTGATAATATTTACTCCTCAATAAATCAAACAATTCAGGATAATACCAATGCCACAATAAGCAAGAAACCAAAACTGACTGATAAAATATCTGCATTAAATTTAATAAATACAAATTTAACTACCACAAAAACAGAAAAAATTCAAACAAATGCGGAAATATTTAAGGTAACATTGAAAGATTCCAACCTCGAAAAAATAACCCAGGAGAACCATGATCTAAATCCATTTACCACCTATTCTGAAGAGACGCCTGGCTTACCTGTTACTACAACAACTAAAATTGAAACCTTTACGATTGAGGAAAAGGATAATGTTCAAACAACAGAAAAATCTTTAGTGGGGGAAATCCCCTCCACGGAAGTTCCTGAGGTGGTGACCAAAAATGGTACTACATCGGAACCAATAACCAGCACCAATGAGCCAACGACTTTTCCAACAGAACCAACTATATCAGCTGAAGACACAACAATTATGCCAGAGGAAATATCAACAACCGAAAACGTTGAGGAATTTGGATCCAACCCACCTGAGGTGGTGACCACAAATGGTACATCCCAGGATGAGAAGACTTCAAATGAGTTAACTACATCGGAACCAATAACGAGCACCAATGAGCTAACGACTTTTCCAACAGAACCAACTATATCAGCTGAAGACACAACAATTATGCCAGAGGAAATATCAAGAACCGATAACGTTGAGGAATTAGGATCCAACCCACCAACTGATGAACCAGTGAATATCACAACGGAAACGCCAGAGGCATTAACCACAGAGCAAGACCTTCTCGATCAAGAAGATCTGATGTTACCTTCCACTCCCAAAGAATACGAGCTTGGTATCCCGGTATCTATAATAATAGATACAATGTCAGCTACGCAAGCTAGCTTAAATGTGTTTTAAGTTAAAAAGTCTGAAAAATTATCTTAAATAAAAACATAAAATATTTTTAACTCGTGATTAAACCTGGAATCTTACTATTTAGCACACAAACATACGTCACTTGGCGTTGTCAATTCCTAACACATTTTTTACGCTTTAAAACAATAAGCTCGTTTTATCGTTAAATAATATTTCTTAAGCAGCTGGCAATGTATTGTTTTAGAATACCCAATAGATTGTTAGAAAGTTATGCAAGTATAAGTCGTCTCACCAATTGTGTACTGAACTTGCCACAAATTTAAGCATTCCTGCAAAAGCGTGCTCTAAAATATTTTTTTGACAATGGGACACTTTTAAATTTAACATAAGTTTTAACATAAGTTTCGCAAAAAATGATTATTCTGTTCATCAAGTTTTGACAAAGAACCAGCGCAATTTTTACCAAAATTCCTGATTTTTGTTAGGTAGTGTAATAAAACTGCACTACTGCATCTAAACTGCACAGCTGGTGGGACAACAGAAGCTGTTCAATATTTTGCTAACAGTCGGTGACTTTGTTTGAATTATATTTGGTAAATATGTAAATAAAGGCTTTATAGTATGTGGTAAGCATGGCTAAAAGCACGTATAAATAGCAGCCCGATCGGATCGAAAGGTAGTTCTGGATCCAACAGAGTACAACACTACCAAAAGCACCATGCAGCTCTCCACTTTCCTGATGACCTTCTTGCTGGTTGCCATGCTCATGTTGTTCAGCGCTCCGGCAACTGAAGCTACATTCCTCCTCATCGCCTGTTTGCTGCGGTCACCACTTTGCCCATTCATCACCACGACCACGGTTTCATCATGATAAGGAGGCCGTCAAACCACTGATAACACCTTGGACACATTTAGAAAATAAAATAATTTTTGTTGCATTACATTGTTGCGTTTTCGTTGAGGGCAATTTTACCATTGTTTTTTTTATCGTGCTGTAAAATTTTAAGTATAACGCCGAAAAGTATACAAAACTTTTTATATTGCAACAAATTGTATGAAGGTGCAACGAGACGTTAGAGGGAACAGTAAAAAATAATAAATTGATTAATTAATTAATTAATAATAAAGATTCCAACCTCGAAAAAATAACCCAGAAGAACTATGATCTAAATCCATTTACCACCTATACTGAAGAGACGCCTGGCTTAGCTGTTACTACAACAACTAAAATTGAAACCTTTACGATTGAGGAAAAGGATAATGTACAAACAACAGAAAAATCTTTAGTGGAGGAAATCCCCTCCACGGAAGTTCCTGAGGTGGTGACCAGAAATGGTACTACATCGGAACCAATAACAAGCACCAATGAGCCAACGACTTTTCCAACAGAACCAACTACACCAGCTGAAGACACAACAATTATGCCGGTGGAAATTTCAACAACTAAAAACGTTGAGGAATTAGGATCCAACCCACCAACTGATGAACCAGTGACTATCAAAACGGAAACGCCAGAGGCATTAACCACAGAGCAAAACCTTCTCGATCAAGAAGATCTGATGTTACCTTCCACTCCCAAAGAATACGAGCTTGGTATCCAGGTATCTATAATAATATATACAATGGCAGCTACGCAAGCTAACTTAAATGTGTTGTAAGTTAAAAAGTTTGAAAAATTTTCTTAAATAAAAACATAAAATATTTTTAACTCGTGATTAAACCTGGAATCTTACTATTTAGCACACAAACATACGTCACTGGGCGTTGCGAATTCCTAACACCTTATTTACGCTTTAAGATGGTCACAATAAGCACGCTTTATCATTAAATAATATTTTTTTATGCAGCTGACAATGTATTGTTTTAGAATACTCAATAGACTGTTAGACAGTTATGTAAGTATAAGTCGTGTACTGCACTGGCCACAAATGTAAGCATTCCTGCGAAAGCCTGCTCTGAAATATTTTTTTACAGTAGGACATTTTTAAAGGAATCGTAAAAAACAAAACCATGTTTTTCTAAAATTTTGAATAATTAAGTTAAATATGTATAATCCTCATAAACTACAAGGAAATTATAATTTTAACATAAGTTTCCGCAAAAAATGATTATTCTGTTCATCAAGTTTTGACAAAGAACCAGCGCAATTTTTACCAAAATTCCTGATTTTTGTTAGGTAGTGTAATAAAACTGCACTACTGCATCTAAACTGCACAGCTGGTGGGACAACAGAAGCTGTTCAATATTTTGCTAACAGTCGGTGACTTTGTTTGAATTATATTTGGTAAATATGTAAATAAAGGCTTTATAGTATGTGGTAAGCATGGCTAAAAGCACGTATAAATAGCAGTCCTATCGGATCGAAAGGTAGTTCTGGATCCAACAGAGTACAACACTACCAAAAGCACCATGCAGCTCTCCACTTTCCTGATGACCTTCTTGCTGGTTTCCATGCTCATGTTGTTCAGCGCTCCGGCAACTGAAGCTACATTCCTCCTCATCGCCTGTTTGCTGCGGTCACCACTTTGCCCATTCATCACCACGACCACGGCTTCGAAATGATAAGGATGCCGTCAAACCACTGATAGCACCTTGGACACATTTAGGAAATAAAATAATTTTTTGTTGCATTACATTTTTGCGTTTTCGTTGAGGGCAATTTTACCATTGTTTTTTTTTATCTTGCTGTCAAAGTTTAAGTATAACGCCGAAAGGTATACAAAACTTTTTATATTGCAACAAATTGTATGAAGGTACAACAAAACTTTAGAGGGAACAGTAAAAAATAATTAATTATTCATACTAAATTTATTTTCAGGACACCTTGTAATAAAAGATAGTGAAAGTAAGTTTTTGTCTTGTATTTTCTTCAAAAATATCATAAGCATTCACAATTCTTCGTTCACAATTGAAATGCAATTGCTGCACTAGTTAGCTAAGACTATGTTCAATTCCATTGGTAGTTTTTACATTATTGATATTTTACAGGGTGCAAATGGCCGAGTCGGCGACTCATTGGATGCGATTGGTGACGGAGGATTGTTGTACGTAGTTGGCCAACCACTCGCCCACCTGGGCCTTGTTGACTGTCAGCCACTTTATGTTGGCCTTCACCGCTTCCAGGGCCTGTTGGCGTGCCGTAGTTCCGGCTCCAGCCTCGGGATACTTGGCGAAGAACTGCTGCATCTCTTCCAGCTTCGTTTCCGTGGAGAAGCGTGCCGTGATCGTGGGAATCAATCGACCCAAAGTACGCTCATTGATGCCGAAACGCTCCACGAGCTTCTCCCAGTTCTCGCGCACATAATCCCAAACCAGACTCTGACCCACCGGATTGGTAGAGATGTAACCCAGCAGGGTGAAGTAGTCCTGCCGGCGCACATTACTCTCGTCCCAGGCCCAGTTGATGTATCGCTGCAGGAGCCACGGCACCTGCACGGCAGCCAATCCGTTCATCAGCTTCACCTTCTCCTGGGCATCGGTCTCGTCCAGGTACAGCTTCCACATCTGATCCCAGGCAGCCTCCGTGTTCACCTGCTGCAGGCCGTAGTAGTAGACGACGTCACGAATATCCGGACTGGGTCGGGTCTCCGGACTGGCCAGCCACTGGTTGAACAGCGTGACAACCTGCTGCAAAGAGCTCTCGTGTCCCAAACTGCAGGCTGAGCTCAGCACCTTGATGCGGAGGCGACTGACGAAGAGAAAAATATGATTAGTTAAAAAATCTATCAAGTTTAAGCCGCTCGGTTATTTGGCTTTTATCAATTTCGAAAAAATCGTCTAGCAATCCATTAAAGAATTGGACATTATTTTCGGGTTATATCTTACTTCTCCAGATGGTCGGTGCCTACGGTAAAGGTGACACTCTCCGCAATGGGCGTAAGCAGTTTGCGGGCGTAGGTGGTGAAGTTGGTGTACAGGTCAGTGTAGTAGACTCGATTCCTCAGCGAAGCCAGGGTGGCGGTGCCCACGCTCCAGGGCACGTAGTCCTTCTCGCTCTCCAAGTAAGAGATCAGATCCAGTGCCAGGGAGTAGCTAAGCTGTCCGGCAGCTGCCAGAGAGTCGGCATCGTTTAACAAGTGAGCGCGATCAGCGGTGGTAAAGGTTTCGCGGGAGGCTTTTAGAGCACTGGTGATTGCTCCCCACTGCTCAGCGGCATAGTTCACTCGATAGTATCCGACCTGATTCGTGTTAATCTTGATCCAGCTGGCATCTCCAGAAAGCGTGATAGTGGCTTCGTTATCGTTGTGGTTAAAGATCAAAGATTGAACTTCGCTGTTAATGCTGCTCGTGTAGGTGATGGGAATCGACCAACGATAGCTGTTGAAGGATGGGAATGGAAAGTTAGGTTTAATTACAGTGTTAAATTAAAGAGTACCTATATTTCGACTTACTTGAAGGAAGATGCTTCAGCCTCGGCTGCGTAGTCATCCTCGTTGGCAAGGAATCTCTTCTGGGTGAGCTTGTAGTTGTTGCCACTTTTCTCGACCTCCACAACTGGCAGACCCATCTGCTCCGTCCAGGTCTGCATGATCTGCCTGAAAGATACATCGCAAATTAAAACATTAGACGAGACATCCCTTTAAGCAGCGTCTTTTACTTACTTCACTTCAAAGTCCAGTCCTTCCTCCTCTTCAACGGCGGTGAGGTAATCCTCAGTGGTGGCAGTGCTGTAGATGTGACGGAGTAGATAGCGAGTCGTCGCGTTCCTTAGCTTCTCCTCGCCCACCAGATTTTCCAGCATGCGAACCAGTGCGGCTCCCTTAGAGTAGGTGATAGTATCAAAGTACTCAGTGATCTCGTCCGGACTCTCAATTGACTTGACAATGGGATGAGAGGCCAAAGTGGCATCAATTTTTAGCACCGGGTGAAGTTCCTCAATCACAAACTGATTGTCTATGTCCCATTCTGGGTGCATCTGCTTCACACCCTTGTACTCGATGAACGAGGCGAATCCCTCGTTTAGCCACAGATCGCTCCACCAGTTCATGGTCACCAGATTGCCGAACCACTGGTGGGCCAACTCATGTGCCACCACAACTGCGACGCGCTGCTTATTCACGCTGGAACTGGTTGATTCGTCGTAGAGAAGAGCAGTCTCCCGGAAGGTAACCAGTCCCCAGTTCTCCATCGCTCCGGATACGAAATCGGGGATGGCCACTAGATCCAGTTTGGGCAGGACGTACGAGACGTTGAAGTAGCTGATGTAGTAGGCGGTAACTCCGGCTGCAGTGTCCAGGGCGTACTGGGTTTTCTCCACCTGTGCTGGCTGAGCATAGACCCTCAATTCGATGCTGGTTCCCTCCACGGTGGTGTTTGTGTACGCGAAATCAGAAACCACAAAGGCGGCCAGGTAGGTGCTCATGGGCACAGTCTCCGCGAATGTCACCTCGGTGAGATCGCCGTCGACATACTCGCTGGCCACCGGCATGTTGGACAGCACATGGTACTGATCGCCACTGGGACGGGCCACGGTGATGGTGAACTGCGCCTTCATGGCGGGCTCATCGAAGCAGGGGAAGGCCATGCGGGCGTATGTGGGTTCGAACTTGGTGCTCACGATCGGTCTGGAATGGAAAATAATGGGAATTTTGTTAGTCCTATTACTTATAATAGCCTGAAGGGAAGCTGATATCTGTTATACTTTTAACATTTCTTATTAGTACAAAGAATTCCTAATCAGAAACAAATTATTAGGAAATGAGAAATACTCTTTTATAAGATAAGATCATATGATTCGTTTTAAAAAGTCATCCAATAATACGCCCCTATTCTTATAGCAATGTTAGTGGGTTGCATGCTGGGGGATTTGGGTGGTTAGTAGCCCGGCTACCTGTTGCGGTTCTTCAGCTTGTCCAAGTAGGTGCTCTGATACATCCCCGTGATCCGATCCGCGAGAGATCCACTGAAGTTCAGCCGCAGTGAGTAGTTCCCGGCCTCCAGAGGCTGCTCGAACTCCGTGACCCAGTACTCGAACTCCGGGTGGGCGAAGGTCAGCGAGGGGGTGATGTCCTTGAGCGGAGCCCCCGATTCGTCCAGGTGCTTCACCTCCACGGTGCTCACATTCAGCTGCTTAACGTGGACTGGGATGAAGGAGATGGGTTCCAGAACTTGCAGGCTGATGCTTATGTTCCCGGAATAGTTCTTCCTGTCTAGATCGGGTCGCAAGTGGACTCGGTACTTGCTGGGTCTTATTTGCCTTGGCAAACGGAATCCCAGATTTTGGAGCACCTTGCTCGCGGCTTTCACGGCGGGCGCCAAGGTGGCCATAATGCTCGACTTTCTGCTGGCGGGCACTTGAGTTGTGTGAACGCGGTTATCTATAGATTATTTGTGCGATTTAATAATCAGTTAGGCGCCAAATCACTATAAATTATTCATCTATTGTACTATCAAATCTCAAAAAGGCTAAAAACAGTGTGGCAGTGAGTCGAAAAAGAGTTAGATAAAAGTGCTTCGTAATGTTAAATACTCCTAATATACCATGTCAAAAGTGGAAAAGGTGCAGAACTTGGATAAAACCAGTTGGTATATTTTACCCCAGAAAAAGCGCGCCAAATTCAAACATGATTTCACGTTACTTATGATTTTTCTTTGCATTTTCTAAAGTTACCTGTACAATCTGACAATTATAGAAAGGACTGACAGATTTTTCAACAATATATTTCAATTATAAATCAAAAGTAAAAATTAAAGAAACATTAACTACATATACATATTTTAAATAATAAATGTTTAAAGTGGTAACTAACATAACACAAACAAAAATACTAGCTAAAAGCTTTTAATTTTTTTGGAAATAATTATTTTTAGTATACTAATTTGTTTACTCTTTCAAAAGTCTGGGAAAACGAGTTTGCACTCATTCGAAAATGCATAGTATATTTCATTGTAAATAAAGCTCTCTGCATTTGTATATTTTACTTATTAGGTGACCCCGACACTGACTGCTATTTTGCTTTTTTCAGAGACATACTGATACTTTTTCTCACTACTCAAGACGAACCTGAGAGCACGCTGAGAATGGGCTTTGTGGAGAGCAACTGGTCCCGGTCCACGTAGACTGTGCGGATGGTGGAGTTCAAGGCCCACTGGGAGGCGTTCGAGTGCTGCTGCCTCTGGTGCTCCTCGGCTATATTCTTGCCCACGTAGACGAGGGCGCCCAGCAGGAAGCCGCAGAGGACGAGCAGGAAGACGCAGAAGGCGGCGAGGGTCAGGATCGTGTTGCTGGGGGCCTTGTGGGGCCGGTTGGTGTCCTTGATCCGGTGGTTATCGTCTGCGGAGAGACTGCTGCGCGGGCGTACGTTTTTCGCGGCATACATGACTTTTGTTTTCCTTTCTCTTTACAATATTTTCGTATTTAATTTTCACTGGGATGGGTACGTTCTACAACAGTAAATTACTTGGTATTATTATTTAAAGGGTTTTATTTTTAATGTCACTGCCACGATCTATGCTCTACTTTAGCTGTAGTTTTATCACAGACTGAGGAGAGGCTGCCCCAAAACGCCACAACTTCATCCAATCCATTGTGTCATCGGCGAGGTAACTCGAGAGCATCATAAAAAAAAAGTCGCGTACTGAATTACATGCGTCGCCGCTGCCATCATCAGTTTTTATAATCTCCGAGCAGCTTATAAACAAACCCGGGTTTGTTTGCCCGGCTTTTATGGAGGTGCCAGTTTGGGAGGAGGAGGAGGAGGCGGAGCAACTCAGCTTCCGTCACATTTCACTCCATCTCCAGGTGGAGATTGCCTCAATTTTGTCTCACTGCAGATCAATCAGATGCCTGTAATTTTGATCCCCTCATCCCCGCCAATGGTCACGTAATGAAGTTGGTCATTTCGTGAAATTGTTACAACAAATACTCGAAGCCATTTTTTAGTTTAGTTGGTGTAGTTGGTGCTGGAACTGGGCTGGCTAACCGCAAGATTTGCAATACGAATCCCCGGGCTTGGTGCAATGATACGGCCACCACAGGCCACTTTCTACAGAGGCGTCTCTACACGAAAAAAAAATGCAATTCGAAGTACCCGAAACGTAAATATGCCGATATATAATTCAGATAATATCAGTTGCAAAGAATCTTGGGGCCTTTCAAAATAAAATAAGATGAGTAATGAACCATCTTTTGAGCGGGATCCCTTATGATAAGCAGAAGCAGAATACAAATGGATATCATACATAATCGATTACTTTTATTTGCTTTTAATGTATTTTTACGTTGTTTGAGATCATTTCAATAAATTGGATCAATTTTTCCCCTGTGTACGATTGATTGACGGTTGAAAGGTTGTTGGCTTTTTGCTTGTCAATTTACAGAGTCTGTTGCACAAATCTTTGCAGACTGTGCGCTGGGAAGATATTGCAGATGCCATTATTAGCAATGGAAATGAATTGAATTGGCCGTCGAGCCGTGATCCACGTCTTGGGTTTTGACAATTATGTCAGGATAAAGGAGTGCTCGTCCCAAGGTATTCATTACGAGAGAACAATATACGGTGCAGCGGCAGTATCACACGAACCTTATTCACTTTAAATTGTGCGAAATGAGGAATTCGAGACTGCAGAATATGCTAATTTTCGTCAGCCGCCGGGCAATTGTCTCTGATACCCATAGTATACCCACAGTATTCCCCCTTCCATCTTCCGCAGATGATGTAATGCTGACTCAATTAGGGAGCGCGCATCGCACAAAGCCACCGCGCATCGGAGGCAACCAAATCGCATGACTACCACCTTATGAGCGGCTAAAAAATACAGTCAGAAGATCTGCAGACAATGGTCGGGTCTAGAGTACTTATATGTACCAGATGTATACATCTCCGACTTCCAAGAGGCAATCGGACACGCCCCATTGCACAAACGTGGATGCGGATATCGTGGCATTCTGAAGCCGATGAAGCGATGATCGCGGGGGCACAAGCCATAACATAACAGTTCTCATGCCTCACTAATGAGTCGCATAAATTTCACTTCTTTGAAGATCGAGTCGAGTGCACGCAGAATAAAAATGTTGAGGCACTAGAAATTCTAGCCAAAATGCATTGAAATTTTTAATTTTTGAATATTGAAATTGAAAGCTTTAATTTGAAACACGTTCTCCAGGCTTTTTAAGGTCATAACTTTCACAATACACAAAGTTACCTAGTAATAGCAACAAAAATGCAAATCGTTATACGTGACAAGTGCGCCCCAGAAACACCCAAAACTCGAAGAAAATCCCAGAGAAGTACGAAAACAACCGAAAACACCCGCGATGGGATGACACTTGACAAAGGTCGTCTATACGTGCCTGCAATTTACGATATTCACAAAGGAGAAATTAAAATAAAAACAATAAATAAGCGGCAAATGGGTTGACAAAGAAATGATTGCCACAATTTGCATGTTTGGGGTTAACGGAATGTGAATTTAAATTGGTATCAATCAATGAGTTGCATCACTTTCAACAATGGAAGACTTTAAAATTGGCACATAAAACTTTAGCCTTGGCAAATTTGTTTTAAAATAGTTATATTTTGGTTACAGGCAAGCTTCAGGGGACATTTAAAAAAATTTATTTATTGATTCGCACTGGTGGTCAATAAATATTAGGAACAAACAAAATCAATTTTGTTTTATTTACAAACATTTGATTTCAATGAAAACCTGTCGACTACTAAGGTAAATAAAAAGCTTCTTTTAATGGGCGATCAATTAGATTGAAAAGGAAATCTCACTGAAAATTAACACTCTTTTTTTTAAAGATCGTTGAACTGAAAAAAGGTGTCAAATGCCCTATCGATTTCGCCAATAGCAATTAACTTACAATATTAACACCAAGGTCCCATTAAAAACTCCACACTTTCGAAGGTTCTTTCCCACACTTGAGAAAAACCAAATTTCTATTTCGCCCAAGAAGAACAAAAAAGAAATCAGTGTCAATGAAAATGAAAAAAGATTTGACCACCGAGCTTCGAATGAACTTTCAAGAACAAAACAAAACGAGAAAACACGGCGAGAAACGGGGAAGGGAATAATACTACGACAACAAGTTGCTTTGGCAGTCAATGATGTCGACCCATTTCGTTTCGGCTTTTGGAAGAAAGTATTTTCTCAGCGGCCATTGAGTATCCGCCGCATTGGAGATGTAAACACGACGCATTTCTTGGTCAACAGCCAGAGGTACACAGCGAGAAAAAGCACAAGAATATATTAAATTTTTGGCTATCTTGAAACTAAGTAAGATGCTGCAATGAATAAGCCAATGCAACAATTTAATATAAGGATGTAATACGTTTTTATCTCAGTTTACTATTTAAATATTATTCATGGCTTGAAGTGTTTCAAAAATTTTAAATTCGATAGTTATCTTGATATAAAAGTTTTTCTTTTATGAATAGATTTATTTGAATGAAATAAATTGTAGATTTGATAATAATCATACAGATATCTCGGAATGCAATTGAGATAAGACGATTTCATTTTAGTATAAGATTATCATATAATAAGATCATTTTCATATATCAATATATTCAATTTTATCTCTTTTATAAAACAGTTCTCGAAACTGTTTTGCCAGTGCAGCGACTGTGGCCGATTTAAGGCCAAGAACTTGCGCGGCAAGTGAACTATGTATGCATTTGGCTCCAAGCCTGTTTGCAGCAGGCAAAACAGAGGGGAAAAAAGGGGAGCGGTGCAACCTGTTTGATTTAGCCATGTGGAGTTCTCTTGGCCAGCTTGGCCCGTTGTTTATCGTACTGCCTGCCTGCCTGCTGAAAGTCAAAGTTGGCATAGAATCCAATCCGTTGGTCGCATTTCAGCAAATATTAAAATTACTAATCGCATCAATGCGTCCAATTAGAACCAGAATTTCGATCGCATAACGGACACGGCGACAATGGAGCTCTTGGAGCGGACTCAACGGTATCTGATTGATCTGGAGCGCTTATTATCTATTATTTTTGTCGCATTTCGCACTATGCCTTTTACTTGATTTACAGTTGGAATCACAGCTTTTCGTGTCACGTTTTGTCTACGAATCGCATTAATTGTCACTTTGCCGGGTCCGAGAAATATTCCCTCAGCTAATTTGATAACGGCAATTGGCGGACAACTATCATTCTTGATTCAAATCGTAGGCGCGCACTCGAGAAAGCCGGGAAGAAAGGGGATCGAGAATCGTACTGCGGGAGATTGAGATCGTATTCCAAGACGCGACCCGCTCTTTTCTGCGACCGTCGCACTCAGCTTTGAACTTCCAACTGAATCTGAAGCGCGGCTCCAAAGTGGTCACGATATTCGAGCTTCTCCGGAAAGCTCTCTCATCAGCTGAGACCGGCTTTTGATGGCCCCATCAAGCGGTAGACTCCAACATTGGGGGTATTCGAACATATGCTTGGGGTCGTAAGACAGCTCACTGTTTCGCTCAATATAATGTATCTTAATATAATATATTACAATCACAATTTTTCTAAAATTAACGTTAGCTCTTAGTACGAGTCAACTGAATTACTTATGTAATTTGTATGTTTTATAAACAATGTAATACTATCATTCTCTTAATTCCTTAATTAAAATAGCCTTGTAAGGATACTCACGTCTCAACTCCTTCGGCGTTTGTGTAGTTGCTTATGTAGCTTCCCACCAGGTTGTTCAGGTTGCAATCAAAACTGGCGGAGAACGTGAAGGCCTTGTTCAAGCTCAGCACCTCCCTCAGGTATATCAAGATTATTTCGCGTACTGCGTCCACCACGACTTTATCGATGGCCACGCGGATGCGCGCCATCATGTTCAATATGCTGATGCTGTGCACATTGAGGTCCTTGGCGTGCAGGACGATCAGATTGGTGACGGCGTTCAGCTGGAACTGGATGGACACGTCGCCCTTACATTCACCAGTCTTCAGATTGGGCTGGATAAACACCTTGTACTTGATCGGCGTCAGTTCCGTGGGCAGGCGCCATTCGATCTGCATGGTTGTAAAGATTATTCAATATCCACCCGATCGATAATGAGCTTGTGGCCCTATAAAGTGAGCAATGCCACGATAAGGTTGGTCAGGTCGTAAACAAAGTGGACTTCGTTGCAACAATTTAGCCTTATGGGGTATATACTAACTGAAAATTGCGAAATTGGGTTCATAATTTATAATAAAGTTTACAAAGTTAGGAACTTTTTTATTAACCTGAAAACCTAATTAAAAAGTTGTATATCTCAACAAAGATTTGAAACCCCTCATTTTTATTGTTTTCTGTCATAAACTGTAGTCAGCAAGTGACTTTGAATGTATTCCTCCAGAACATCCAACATCCTTTTGGCTTCTTCCAACTGCAGCCACAAATTATCCCTGTGGACGACCACAATTACGAGAGCAACGATCAGACAGGTGGACAGCAGGCCAAAAAATATGGCAACTCGTTCCGCGGTGATGGAGTCTATGAAAATATATGTCTCTGAATTTTTCGGAAACTTCTCCTTCGATTGAAATAAATACCCTTTATCCTCTCCTTTGTGTGGCCCATTTTTGTGACTCTTAACTCTGCGTTGGCCGCAATTAAACTAACTTTTTAAGTTAAGACCAATGGAATTAGCCAAGTCTGGTATTACTATAAAAATGGAAAATATAACCGCTGCCCAACCGATAAGCACATGAAATGATTATGGGGAAACTTGATAAATTTGAAATTAGTACTCATGCCGACTTTATGATCACCACTGACCACCATTTGGAAAAGCTTTTCTAACTGACGTGGGGGTTTTTCTGAACTATCTAATACCTGACATCATACTCGTATTTGCAAGTACCAAGTATTCTTAAGATATAATATAACTTACCTTTTCAGGATCTGGAAGACCTGTCGGCAAAGTTGGATAGATAGGAGCGCTGCTGGAGGATGTGGATGCCGTACTGGACGATTCTCCTCCTGGAGAGGTTTCTCCTGGAGAGGTTCCTCCTGGAGAGGTTCCTCCGCTTGGAGTTGTTACACCTCCCTCGCCGGGAGAGCTGGTGGTTCCACTAGGCTCATCTGTTGGCCTGTTAGGATCTGCAGTGGTGGTCGTCGTAGTGGAGGTGGAGGTGGAAGTGGTGTCCGCTGTCAGGGCGTCGATCTTATCCAGGGCGTCCTGAAGATCGTTCTCCAGATCGGCGTTTTGGACTGCCAGCACAATGGTGGCCACACAAAAGGCCGTGGAGGCCAAGCCCAAAAAGATGGCCACTGACTTGACCGTCAGCCCTGTAAATAAGTTCTATTACTTCCAGTTACATAAGGTTTCTTTTTATAATACTCACAGGCAACCATTTCTAGGGATAATCCTTTCTCACGGAGAACTTTTGACTGCTTCCACTAAGCTGGACGCCAAATTGGAAACTGAATGCAAGTCGCGAATCTGACCCCACAATTTGGACTTAATAAAACTGATTGCTGGACGATATCTAGACTATATACTATATAGCTTCATGACCAGATAAAAAAGCTTTATGCTAGACCATAGCCCCGTGGTCTTTTACGTTCATGTTTACAACAAGGCCATATATCGACTTTTATGATTGGACAGTCTCTGGATAATTACGCACGGTCATGATTCCATTTTCCACTCTGACCATATAGTTGTTACCCCTATCTACGGCAATTCCTGGGAACCATAGAAATCGCCACTTGCCCGGATAAAATTGAAAATTTAGGGGGGTTTTATTTATGGTTTGATTTTGGAATTTCATTTTATTGAACTCGAACGGAAATTTCGCTGGTTTCTTATGCAATTCTAATTAGTGGTTAATTGACCTGTTTTTATATACATTTTATATACATAGAGTTTACAATTGGGTTTTCTTGGTCAGCGGCGAGGCCGTTCCACTTAGCCAGTCGGTGATGTCAGCGTGGTTCCTGGCCAGCCACTCGATGTTGTATTTGATGGTCTCCACGGCCTCCAAACGAGAGTTTGCTCCAGCACCAGATTCGGGATACTTGACGAAGAACTGCTTCACCTCCTCCAGTTTCACGGAGCTTGCAAAGTTGGCCGTGATCTGGGAGATAAGTCGGCCCAAGTTGCGGTTGTTCAGGCCAAATCGAGCGATGAGCTGGAGCCACTGTTCACGGAAGAATTCCCAGACCACGGATTCACCCACAGGATTGGCGGCTATGTACTGCACACAGGTGAAGTAATCCTGGGAGCGGACAATGTTCTCATCGCCAGCCAGAACCAGGAAATTGAAGAGTGTCTGGCTGTTTAGAACACCAGTCAATCCGTACATCAGTTTCAACTTCTCGCTGGCATCGGTTTCGGCCACGAACAGTTGGAACAACTGTTCCCAGGTCGACTGGCTGGTGGATTGCTGCATTCCGTAGTAGTAGACGATCTCGCGAAGATCGGGGGAAGGTCTGCTGGTGGGGTTCAGCAGGAAGGCGTTGAAGCGCTGGGCAGCCTGCTCCAAACAGTCTGGAACTCCCAGAGCGCAGGCGGTGGTCAAAATGGAAACCCTCAAGCGGCTGGAAAGAGAAAATAGCATTTGTTAGCCCTAGGAATTCTCCTGTAATTCAGGTTATTATTCTTAACTGAATAAAACCTTTGAATCCTTACTTTTTCAGATGGTTGTCGGCATCCACAGTCCATCCCACCTCCTCGTAGACTCCGGCGATCAGACTTCTGGCATAGTTGAGGTACGTCACATAGCCCTCACTGAACATAAGGCTGCGGTGGAGAGACCTGAGCTTAGTGGCAGCCACATACCAGGGCACAAAGTCGCGCTCCTGGCCCAAATAGGCGGTCATCTCCAGGGGAATCCTGTAGGAAAGTTGGCTGGCATCGGCCAGGGCAAAAGCATCGTTCAGGAGGTGGGCACGATCAGCGATTTCGAAGCTATCGGGATTGCTGATCAGCTGCTGGATGAGAAGGGTCCACAGGCTCTCCTCGTAGTTCACACGATAATAGCCCGTCTGATTGACATTCAATTTGATCCACTGTACAGTGCTGGCTACGAAAATGGGAACGGTTTCCACATCGTAGTCGTAGATCAAACTGCCCTCTGTACCGTCATCTGTGATATAGGTGATGGGAACACTCCACCTATAGCCGTATTCACTGTCAGAGGGAGCCTCATCATAACTGGCGGGATTTGAGAGGAATCGCTGCTGAGTGACCTGGAAACTACCATCGGCCTCCTTTGAAACATTCAATACCGGATAACCCATCTGCTCCGTCCAGGTGAGCATCAATTTCTTGATTTCCACATCGGTTACCACTGCCTCCACTTCGGTGAGGAAATCATCGGTTACCGTGTTATTAAACTGGTGCTTAACCAGGTAATTGGTTACTGCCTCTTCAAACTTTTCGGAACCCACTAGGGTTTCCAACATGCGGATTACGGAGCCACCTTTCTCGTAGCTGATGGTATCAAAAAGGGCAGTGATCTCATCGGGGGATTCCACCTTCTGGACAATTGGGTGGGAGGATAGCTTGGCGTCGTATACCAAAACGGGTTGCAGGGCCACAATTTGGAATTGCTCTATCTGTTTGGAGATTTTAAGAGATACTGAGTGAAAAATGCATCCTTAATGCACATACGATAAGACACCTACCATTCCCCAGTCCGGGTGGACAGCGTCGACTCCCTTGTACTGCATAAAGCGGGCGAAACCCTCGTTGAGCCACAGATCGTTCCACCACTTCATGGTGACCAGATTTCCGAACCACTGATGGGCAATCTCATGGGCCAAGGTCCCGGCTATCGATTGTTTATTTGCCGTGGAACTGTAGCTGGTATCGTACAGGAGGGCAGTCTCCCTGTAGGTGACCAGTCCCCAGTGCTCCATGGCTCCCGAGGCGAAATCAGGGATGGCGGCCATGTCCAGTTTGGTCAGTGGGTAAGGCACCTTGTAGTACTGAATGTAGTACTCCGTGACGGCTGCTCCGAACTCCAGAGCGAACTCAACCTTTTCGATCTGATGGGAAGTGGCATAGGCCTGCATGGAGAAGTCCTCGCCAATGCCGTTGGCCCTGACTGTGGTGGAGTAGGAGGAAAAGTCGGACACAATGATGCACACCAGGTAGGTGCTCATCGACACGCTGGTCTCGAAGATGGCCTCAGTGAAGTCGCCCAAGTAGTTGGATTCCTAGCGGGGATTTTCAATGGTCTAAATCGAATTTAAGTTTATAAGAAATCTAAGTCTGATCTCACCGTTTGCTGCATATTGGAAACAGCGTGGTAAGAACCAGAGGGATGAACCACAGTGATTTCAAAGGTTGCCTTCAATGCTGGCTCGTCAAAACAGGGGAAGGCCTGACGGGCATAGGTGGGCTCAAATTTAGTGGTGGAAATGGTCCTGTAAAAAGAATTTAGGTTTCAGGGAAAACTAACTTATGCAATACCAGAAGGAGCTAAAATCTATAGCACACCTTTAGGCTTAATTTAAAAACTTTACACAATTACCTAGTATCTCCCGCCTCATTTAGGTAGGTACTGCTGTACAAGCCAACCAGCTTGTCCTTCATCTGTCCACCGAATAGGATTCCCAGGGTAATTCTGGCATCCTTCGGCAGCTCCTCCGTCAGCGTGATGATCAGAAACTGACGCTCCTCCTCAAGCTCAAACTTATCCACCTCCCGGTTGAGAACATAGACATTGGTGATGTCCAGGAGGTAGGAGTGCAGAACTATCTGGTTGGTGGCCTCCACCACATTGATGGTGATCCTCAGCTGACCGGTGAAGCTGCCCGTTTCCAGATCAGGATGCCAGTAGAGATTGTAATGGGTGGGCACCAGAGCCGTGGGCAGACGGTACCTAACCTGATAATCAAACATAATAAATCAATTTAACTGATTACATTTTCCAAACCGTTACGCACCGTGTCTTCACGCTTCATTCGGTGGGTACTTTCACCATTCCACTCCTCGTAAATATCGATCTTGTTCTGGACATCTTGAAGGTCCTTCTCTAGCTTAGCCTTCTGCACCGCCACAACCACGGTGGCAGTGGCAAAGGCCACCACCGCCCAGGAGAGCACCACCTGCAACCAATAACCCGACAAGAACATCTTTGCAATCGCACCTGTCGCGAGCGACTAACTAGCGGCTAAGTCGATGGATCCAGCACTATCCACTCGTTGCCCAATATTCGACTCCTATCGATTGGGGCCACTCGAATTGGTTTATGTGCGCCCACACGATTGCGATAATGATTGGCCAAATAGCCGCGATTATGGTCAACCGGGCGATAGGGTACAAACCAGAGATCTCGGGTCCCAACGGTATAAAGTTGGGGACATACTGATCGAAAGAGTATGAATTCGCGTGGCTTATGACACACTATAAGTATTATGGGTTCAATCACATCATCCTAAACTTTTACTTTTAGCTCGAAACCAATTTGTACTATTGTTAATTGACCATTTCAATTTATTTCGCTCCGCCTCACAGGGAGAAAATAAGTGTATGCTATTCAAAAGTTTATATTTTTTAGTCATTGTTCTTGAATAAACCTTTTAACAACATTTTATAAATATGCCATTCATTCTATGAATTTGCACTTTTTCTTGGTAAAGTTGTGTAAGAGCGATTATAAATGTTTTGATAATTCCCTAATCTTAAATAAGAAATTAGGAGATTATAGCTGTCGGTTTTTTTGCTGAAATGAATTGGAATAATTGAAAACTTGTTATACTCTAACTTTTTTGTCAATACATCTCCTTTTGAAAAACTAGAATTTTTAAGGTTTCATCATATAAGAAAGTATATTTCCATTGCTTGTAAAATTTAGACCGGATATTTGGGCCTGCAGTAAAAGTCAATCAAATCAGGTCTTGTCCATTAGTCACCCCCACCCAATCCTTGTTATCAAATCATGTTATCAATCATGGATAATTGCTTATTTATAGAGCTGTAATTTCAGTTTTCCCCATAACTAGCTTATCTTTATTTCCACTTGTTCGGCATGTTTTTGCTTTATAATGGCAATTAGATGAGTACAAATTTAATGCAATCGATGGTCGCAAGACCACTTCCTCCTCGGACTTTCCTACAGTTGCTGTTTGTCCAGCCAGGCGTCCACGCCCTCCAGGTTCTCGGCCAACCAGACGATGTTGTTCTTGACCGTCTCCAAAGCCCTGACTCGGGCAGCTGTTCCCGCTCCAGCCTCCGGATACTTGGCGAAGAACTGCTCCATCTCCTCCAGCTTGGTTTGAGTACTGAACCGAGCCGTGATCGAGGGTATCAGGTTGCCCAGATATCGTTCGTTCAGGCCAAAACGATCCACCAACCGTTGCCAGTTCTCGCGGACATAGTCCCAGACCAGGGGCTCACCCGCTGGATTGGCAGAGATGTAAGTCAGGCAAGTGAAGTAGTCCTGACCCCTGACGTACTCCTCATTCCAGGACAGATCAATGTAGCGCTGCAGGATCCAAGGAGTGGGAATGGCCGAGAGTCCATACATCAGCTTGGCCTTCTCGCTGGCGTCGGTTTCGTTAACGAAGAGCTCCCACACTGTATCCCAAACCTCCTGGCTTCCCACAGAGAGTATTCCATAGTAGTAGACGGTCTCACGGACATCAGCCTTGGGACGATTCTCCGGGTTGGCCAACCAGGTATTGAACTGTTCTCCAGCTTCAGAGAGGCAGGACTCCAGACCCAAAGAACAAGCGGCACTCAGAGCGGTTACACGAAGGCGACTGTGGATAATAATGGTATAGAAATCTGGATCCCTGAGATGGCCAAAGAATACTTACTTATCCAAGTGATCCTCGCCAACGGTCCAGGTCAAGTCCCTATAAATTGGCTCAATCAAGGCAGTGGCATACTTCTTATACTTGGCATAGCTGCTGGTATAGTACAGGGTTCTCTTCAGAGAAGTCAAGCGAGAGGCAGCCACACTCCAGGGAACATAGTCAGCCTCCTTATTCAAATACCTAGTCAGCTCAAAGGCCGTTTCATAGGGCAACTGTGTAGAATCAGCCAAGGCAAAGGCATCGTTGAGAAGAGAAGCCCGATCTCCAGCGCTAAAGGAACTCGGTTCAGCCACCAGTTGATCGGCCAGAGCGGTCCACAGAGCGGTATCGTAATTAACGCGATAATAACCCACTTGATCGAAGTTAAACTTGATCCACTGGACGGCGGAGGGAACGGTTATAGTGACTGTCGAAAAAAAAAAGTTTAGAGATCAGCTATCTGAGGATCCGACCCGTGGATCTGCATACAGATGGCAGCACTTACTTTCGCTCTGGCTGTGATAAAACCACGCACGCTGCACCACCGACTCCGAACTGGTGGTATATGTGATGGGGATCGACCACCGGTAGCTGTGCGAAAATAATGTATGTGCGAAATTCGCAATCAGATACCACATATCCAGGCAATAAGTTCTGCTCACTCACTTGAATTCCGAGGGCTCATGATCTTCGTTATAGTCGTTCGGGTTGGACAAGAAACGCTTCTGCGTCAATTTGTATTCCGTGTCGGAGACCTTCTCGATCGTGACCACTGGCAGACCCATCTGCAAAAAAATAACAAGAAAAAATATGGGGTTGAAATATTCGCACATTTCTTGAGACTTCTATGGGTTTACCTGAACCGTCCATGTCAGCATGATGTCGGTGACATTGTAGCCCAGTTCCAGTTTGTCGATCTCTGAAAAGAAGTTACCCGTTTCGGCCGTGGAGTATTTGTACTCATTTAGATAGTTGGTAACTGCCTGACGGAAGGTGGTTTCTCCCAAGAAATCCTCCAACATGCGCACCAGAGAAGAGCCCTTGGAGTAAGTGATGGTGTCGAAAATCTCAGTGATCTGATCGGGATTCTCTACCGTCTGGATGATGGGATGGGAGCCCAGAGTTCCATCTAAAGTGAGCACGGCGTGTAGGGTGCTTACGATGAATTGGTCACGCTAGGGAGGTAAGATATAAAAAATCAGTTGGGATAATCATTTTGTATCTTTGGGTAACTTGCCATTTGCCACTCTGGGTAGACGGCGTCCACGCCAAGGTACTCGATAAAGCTGGCAAAGCCTTCATTTAGCCACAGATCGTTCCACCAGTTCATGGTGACTACAAAGAGAAAAGTAAGGAAGAGCCATTTTAAATTATGTGATATAAATTCAACCTCTTAAGCCAGTGGTCAACAGAAGCAGTGAAGTCGGCCCGCGGGTTAGAAAATGCCTTTGCCTCTACTCTGCTCACATTCTGCCACAAAACACCAACTCAAAAATAATTAAATATGGTTCTGATGGCCCCTGCTATAAACCCAACCCATATTAACCCCTGTTCAGATTTTTATAACACCACAGGGTATATCCACAGTGGGTTAACGTACCCAAATTTCCAAACCACATGTGTGCGAACTCGTGGGCAATCACGCTGGCGATGCGTTGTTTATTGGACGCCGAACTCGTTTCGGCGTCGTACAATAGAGAAGTTTCCCTGTACGTGACCAATCCCCAGTGCTCCATGGCGCCGGAAACAAAGTCGGGAATGGCGGCCATGTCAAGTTTGGGTAGCGGATATGCAATTTGGAAGTAGTCAATGTAGTACTCGATTACTCCCTTGCCAATCGTCACGGCGAGGTCCACCTTGTCGAGTTGTTCTGGAGTAGCGTAGACGCTCATGGTGAAGGTTTCTCCAATGCCCTTCGTGTCGATGTCCACCTGCTTTGAGGTGAAGTCGGAGACAATAAAGCAGGCCAGGTAGGTGCTCATGGGCACACTTTTCGCGAAGGTAACCTCCTGGAAGGCACCCTGATTGGCACTGGAATCCACGTTCATGTTCGACAGGGCATGGTAATCCTCCCCGGAGGGATGAACCAGGGTAATGGTAAACTCAGCCTTCATAGCCGGCTCATCGAAGCAGGGAAAAGCCTGGCGAGCGTAGGTGGGCTCGAACTTGGAGGTGGCAATCCACTTGCGGCTCTCATCCTCCTTCAAATACGACGAACTGTACAGACCCACTATCTTGTTGGCCATCGATCCCTCGAATCCGATATGCAGTCTCACTTCTCTGCCCTGTGGTAGCTGTTCACTCAGCTGGAATATCAGAAACTCCCTGACGGAATCCACTGAGGTCTCCAGGACCTCCAAAGTATTACTGCCCGTGTTCATTATGGCCACACTCGAAATGTTCAAGTTTAGGGAATGCAGGACTATCTTGTCGGTGGCCTCTACAACCGTGATTGTAATGGTCTCCTGACCACTGAACTCCCCTGTTTCGATGTTGGGGAACAGATAGAGATCGTAGTGTGTGGGTATCAGATTTCCGGGCAATCGGTAGTCTATTTTCTCTTCTGGAGCTGCAGTGGTGGCAGGTGAGGCAGTGGATCCTGGAGAAGCAGTGCTTCCTGGCGATGCAGTGCTTCCAGGTTCAGCTGTGGGTTCTGGACTTGCAGTGCTGCCAGGACTCGCAGTGCTCGAGGTTGTCGGAGCAGCCGTGCTCGTAAGCCCCGCCTCGAGGAGGTCCAGCTTCTCCTGTGCATCGCGCAAATCATTCTGAAGACTCGACTTCTGGACGGCCAGGACAATTGTCGACACGGTGAAGGCCGTGAGCGCGAGGCTCAGGCCAATGGCTACCAACTTGGCGGTGATTATCATGACCACGTTAATCCAGCACGGGCCGAGTCCAAAGCGAAACTAAGCAATCTCCACGGCGAAATAGCGACAGGTAAGTTAGTTTGGAAACCTCAAGTGGGCCCCTATATCTTAATTGACTGGCTGCGTTTGCAGATTGCTAATCTAATCGCCCGTCGATGAGCCGCTTCAATGGTATTAACCGAAACATATGTATATGAAACGAAGGCGAGTGCGGCTGACAATCGCTCGAATTTATGGACCCTGTCATGGCGCTTTGATTAAACTTAGAAATGCCAAAGATCTGGCGCGTTTTTCCTCGGCCAGTCGGAATTCCAAGCTGCTGAGCCCCGAGGAACTTCCAGTGTCAAGGCCCATATGTGTGTGATCGTAACCCTCGGTTACTCAGGCTTACGGAGCCCAATTGAGCAATTTTGTTTACTACCTGCGTCCCGTTCCGATCGTCCCGTCCCTTTCTGTTCTCTGTTTTACCCGGCGCTTAGGTCCTAAAAAACCCTTTTCCGGTGCTATGCAGACGATACTTTCGACCTAATTAGAGAATCGGTATTTTCATTGTGTTAAAACCCAAACATCGAAATTTCCGCACACGTTTTTGCAACGCCTGGACCTGGAGTGCTTATAATGACTTTGGCTTTACGAGCTGCGAGCTGGAAAAGGGAAGTTCCCCATAAAAAATATTTGCTAATTATGGGTATTGATTTATAGAATATTTTTACTTGACGTCAATAAAAGTTTTGTTTTGTACCTTTGTTGATTTAATAATTACATGCTTCACTTTTACTAATCGTTTTATCTTTGAAGTGCTGACAAGCGATTGGCTATTAAAAGGGTCTACCTTTTCTTTTCATTTATTATCTATCTATCCATTATCAATCAGATATTATATATCTTATCTTAGTTGAAAATCCATATCAGGTAAGCCAATCTATTTTGTACTTTGCTTTTAAACGAACATTTCAATAACAAAGCTTAAAGAAAATGCGTATTTTCAAAAAATATAACTCGTGTCGCCGATCATATATGAAATCGCAGCTTAAAAAATTCCCCTTATCAATTTTTGGGTTTTCGTCCCTAACATCATTTGTATAAATCCTAGGTATTAACTTTAGCTAAATATGGAAACAAAGCCGACTCACCACAAAGCGCAATTAATTTTCCAGATTATACTTACTGTTTGTCATATGTTTTGTTATATAATTGGCTTGGCCAGTCCAAAACCCAAACAAACCCGAACCCAAAACCGGGCATTGATGTTGTGCAGTGGGAGAAGTGGGGAAATCCGGACGTATTGAATGGAATCGGATGGGTTTCATTCATGAGCACGTAGGGCGCCGTTCCTAGGATCTACCTGCCTAAGCGTGGGAAAGTTGCTCACAGCGAGGAGGACTACCTCCAGGTAGTCGCAGGAAACTGGGCTGCTGCTCCGCAATTGCATCGCGGGCTGCCAGTGGGTTTTTGTATTTATCCGTCGCCGGGAGTTCCTACCCCCTGCCCATCAAAATTTCCAAGTGGAAAACGGCAAATTTCCGGTTTTTTGACCAGGCCCAAATTTCCCACGGGCCGGCCCCAGGAGGGCGCCCAGATCAGGCTATATAAGTCTGCTGACCAGCATCGTCATCATTCAGTCGAGCTAACGACATCGCAAAGGAAACATCAAATATTATTATCACTATAAAATCAGACAACATGCTTTTTGCAATTACATTACTTCTGGAAGTTACCTCCACCTTGGCTGGAGTTTTGGAACCCATGAACTACTACCAGTACACCCAGTATCAAGCTCCAATCTCCTGGGAGGATATAACTGGAAAAGGACTAAAACAGGCTCTTGGAAGTTGCCAGCAGAGCTTCCAGTGGCAACGATGGAACTGCCCTAGCCAGGATTTTGTACAAAAGAACTCCAAGCCAGAAGAGAAGACTCCGAATAGGGAGGATGTCTATGTGGCGGCCATCTCCATGGCAGCCATAGTTCACACACTGACTAAGGATTGTGCGAATGGCGTGATTGCAGGATGTGGATGCACTGAGAACGCCTTGAATGTTCCTTGTGCCCATGAACCCTCCAAGGCACTGGAGCAGTTCGTGAAGCAATTTGGAACAGGATCAGGAGCTACTGCTCACAATCGACGTGTAGTTGGGGCTCTTCTAGAAAGATCCCTGGAGCAGGAGTGCCGGTGCAAGCCAGGACCTGTGCAGGGCAACTGCCAGGAGGAGGAGTGTGTGGCTGTCCTCAAGCCCTTCGAAGCCATTGCCCAAGATCTCCTCCAAATGTACGACGATGCTATTCAACTGGACAGCGCCAGTAGCAATCTGAAGATCATGTGGGAGAACATTCCCCTCGACTCGCTCGTCTTCATGCAGGACTCGCCCAACTACTGTGAGCACGATTCCCGGGGATTGTGGAAGGGAACTCGTGGTCGCCAGTGCTCCAAGGATGGCAGCGGTTCTCTGGAGGAGCGCCTCTCCTGCCAACAGCTGTGCCGCGTCTGCGGATATCGCGTTCGGTCACAGCACTTGCGATCCGAGCGGAGGTGCAACTGCAAACTGGTCTGGGGATTCCGACTCCAGTGCGATGTGTGCGTCCAGCTGGAAAAGCAGTACTCCTGCTATTAAAAGGATGATCCATAAGGAAGCCGGGGCGCTGGTCGAGACCCATGAAGAAATAATACCTTAATTTAAGTTAATTTATTTCAACCCACCGCTAATTTATTGCCACAACAAATAATATCAATAAATATTAATTTTATATATACCATACATAACATTTTCTAATCACCTTTCTACAAGTTTATGGGGATTTTGCATTTTTATGAAGTCATTATATCATCGAAATCGGAATCACTTTCTGCAGGTGTTTATAAAAATGAAATATGCTTTCATTCACAGTCTTCCATCAGCAGGTGTTGTTCTGGATACTTTTTTGCCAATTTAACATGCAAAATTCTCCAGCTGCCTAATAAAGTCAACCTTTCATCTGTTGGTTCCATTTTACCCATGGTGTAAAGATATATATAACACAACATTTAATTGAACTTCATTTCAATTCCGACCTAAGAGAAAACGCAGTTAATCAACCCGATTTGTGTGTATGTTTATTTCGAAGTACTAAGAGCCTAGAACCGAACTTAGAGCAATGTGAGACTGTGTTTCCCCGATCTAGCTGATCCAGGTGGTCGGTTTGCCCTCAACCCGATAGCCATTGTAGGCGGCAGCCGCCGAGGAGGCAGCGGCGGCCAACTCCGACCGCCGACTGGGCTCGCCGGCCCAGTAGGAAGGCACCTCATAGCTCTGGACCATCTTGTTGCCATTCTTGATGGCCGAGATAATCAGCAGGAAGATGGCCAGTTTGCCCACCAGAATGGATTTGACCAGGAGCAACTTCAGCTTGGTGACCAGAAATGGAACAATGGCCGATTGGATGAGGAAGGGGAGGATGAAGAGTGGTAAGACTTTGGTGATCATGTCGTACTTCTTGCCACGACCTAAAAATATCACAGAGTTTTTTATTAAGTTTACAGTAGTTTTCGAGATATAGAAACCCACCTTCTTCACTATTATCTAAGGTTAACCAACGAGCTCCCATGATCTCCTTGAGATTCTCGCCATCCAGCTTCACGTGCACAATGTCGTTGCTCATGTCCAGACTGACATTTAGTCCAGGACCCACATGATACCGCTGTATGGTCTCGTTCTCTAGGTCAGGATCACTTTCAGGTTGATCCGTTTCGGTTTCCACCTCCTCCCGCCGCTTGTTGCGATCCTTGCGCTTGCGTTTGCGTCGCTTTTTGCCAGCTAAGGATTCACTATCATCGTAATTTGGGGATTCGGTTTGAGCCTCCATCAAAGCCTGCGCCTGGCCATCCTGACGGATCTCCTGGGCCAGTGAATCCCTGGGGTCCTGCTGATCGGGATCCGACGATTCGGGTGTCTCATTCTCCGCCATTTGGGGGGCACTCACGCGATCTCGCAGCCTTTTTTTGTACTCACTGGTCGTCTTGTTGCCCAGATAGGTGCTCTTGTAGTTCTTGTAGATGCCCATGAAGATGTGCGAGTTCTTGCGCAGAGCCTGCTTGTCCTCCGGCTCATAGCTGCTGGCCAATCCTCGGGCTGCCTCCTGGCTGGCGGTGGATGTCTCCTGGTTGCCATCAGTATCACTATCCTGGCCAAAGGCCAGCGAGCTGCAGAGCACGCACAGTAAAAGGAATCTCACCAAGTGACCGTTCATCTCTGTTGCATGTCCAAGTTAAATTTGAGTCCAAGGAAAAATAAAGCTGCGTGCAACCGCTGCAATGGCCAGCCGCAAAATGTGGCACGATCGGCGGCGGCCAAGAGTTTTATCAACTCCGAAGAAAGCTGAAGAAAAGCAGCAGCACGGCTGCTGTAGAAAAGCCAAAGCTAGCTGCATTCTGAGACTGGAATGGAGCTGGCATTTGAATTGAGCACAGAGACAGCTGAAAGAGTCGAGAAGTTGCCGCTGCAAGTTGCAATGTTGCAGGTTGCCGCCGCTAGAACACGATTCTTGTGCTGGATCCTCTTCAATTAAATTGCCGCTGGTCCAAGTCGATGTCTGTGTTACAAGCGAAAAAAATACAAATATCTAGAGTAGGCCTGCAATTTCTCAGTGATCTCGCTCATTGATTTCTTTTAGCTTTAATTGCCCCCGGGACCCCGGGACCCCGGGACACCGCTGCATTGGCCATAAATAAAGCCGGCTGTCTAAGTAGCCTGCTAACGGTTCCCGACTCTATACTCTATACTACATACTCCATGCTCCATTCTTTACCGCACAACTTCAGACGCCTCCAATTAACGCTTGACGGCCATCGCATGGGAAAGTTGTTGACAAAACTGGCGCAGGCGGCAGGCAGATCGCTCTCAAAATCAAAATCCAGAGTAGAAAGTAAATTCTATCCATCCATTAGCTTTTGCGAAAAATCCGCTTTACGTATTTGGTCACCTAATTTACTTTCACACAATTAGCAAACAAATACTCCAATCCGCGATAGGGAAATCTTAATGCGGATCGATTGCAGTAGCTATGGTTTTATTGTCCCAATGGCCGTGTTTTATGTCCACCATATCACGGTTCGATAACAAGTAGCACATACTAGCTTATCTTATCTTTTATTAGTAAAAAGAAAAGTCGGATAATCCAATCTAAATAGCATTAGACACATGACAAGCAAAAAGTGCAAGAATTATGGTCATAACATTTCTGAGTCATAATAGTGCTTTATATTTTGACACCTTTTACAGAACATACCATATACATTTAAGTGAATTAATTTATTTAAGTTCTAAGAATTTATTTTATAAATATAGAAAAATGTTTAATGCTCTTAAAATTAATTAATAAATGTATACAAAAACTCCACGGACTGAGAAAACGGAATAGGCTTGCCTTGCAATTTGTTTTATTTCCGTTAATGAAAGTGAATTGCAATGACGAAGACGTGGTATGCCAACATTCATCAATGAAAATCCGTTACTCAGCCGTCGTATAAGACAAAGTTGCCGTTTTTTAATACAACTATAGATTAAACATTAAAATGCAGTACCTCATTGTTAATTAGCTGATAAATCATTATCGACCAGCGACGAAAAATGAAAGCGAATCGATCGCTAAGACTTGGGTGCTGCCCTCAATATAGACACGCGTCGTGAAAGAATGCCCATGTCCAAGTTTTAAGTCCGAGTTCCATGTCCAAGTTCCTATGCAGCACACCCCCAAATGCGTTGCGCCCGAAAAAGGGCCCCTTCAAAGGCAGTGAAAATAATGACGGACTGCATGCATATTCAAAGGAGTGCACTGCCAAAAAAAAAATATTAAAATATTAATATAATAAAAACATAGATCATTTGCCAAGGATATTATACACAAATGCATAAAAAATTATAATAAATATTTTAGTTTATAAATATAGTGTAAATTCTTTACTTAACTATAATTATTTATTATCAAATCGTTAAACAGTTAAATAAAACCTCTGCAAAATCCCTTCTTTTCATAGTTTTAATGACATATACTTTTTTTAAAAAAAGGTAGCTAAAACTTGTTATTCACAGTGTACTGACATCTACGAGTCGGGGGCAGTCTGATGGCGGTCTGAGTCGTATGGCAGCGGCACGATTTGCTTGTTTTGGCGCACGTTCGTGCTACGCTGCGGCTGCGCGATGTCCGGCTGCCGAATTTCAAGTAGCCGCCCAGTGAGCCGGCCCAAACACAAAACCCTCGTCGATAAAAGCCAATGTCAATGTGAGCCCTCCATTCAATTGTTAGCCAGTGCCGGAGTCGTGCAGTGCAGCAGTGTCAAACGGATTACCAGATACTCATTCTCAAGGAATCAACGATCATCGAATCAAATCGAAATGGCCGCCAACCAGAAGATTGTGTTTGCCCTCGTTTGCCTGTTTTTGGCCTGTGATTTGGTGCTGGGTCAGCAGCAGGCGGCCAACAGCTCGGATGCGGAGTCGGATGTGGCGGGTTAGTGAAAAAAAATAGTTCTTGAAGATATATCAGAGAAAATTTTCCGAAAGAATAACATGGTTCAATCAATCTCTCAATGAAATCCCCTCTAAAAACATGTTTGTGTTATTTTTACTGACATATAAAATAGTTACAATGGAATCTGATTGTGATCCCTTAATAAGTTTTTTATAAAGTAAATTGGTCCACCCTTTCTTCCAGAAAGCCGTACTTTTGGCCATCATTTCCTGCGGCGCATCAGCTTCGCCTTGGTGCCAGGCGCCTTCGTCGTGGGCGTGATCACAACCCTGCTGGCGGCCTTGACCGTGGTCTCCATCAAGGGATTGGGCGTGGGAGTCATCCTGCTGGTGCTGGCCATCGGTCAGATGCTGTCCCGAGCCCTTCCCGTCCAGGCAGCCGCCGCCTATGCCGCCGCTCCCCTTCCCGTCCAGGCTCCTGTGCCCGTGGTCTACTCCCACTCGCACACTCAGCAGCCCGTCTGGCTGGAGAAGGAGTGGTAAAAGAGATAGATGACCTTTGACCTGGATTTGCAAGACGAGGATTCACACTTACCTCAGCCTCAGCGAGCATGCAACCAAATAATAATTTAAGTCTAGTTTAAATTATTTATTTAACTTATTTATTGATTACAAGTAAAGAATGGCATAAGCATTTAGCAGAGAATCTTCGTTATTAAATAATAATGAAGATTTGTCTGCTGAATGAAGTTACACAATTAAATTCGTAAATATTTATTAAGAATGATTGCTGAAAATCGTTCTATTGAAAAGATAATAAATAAAGGCATATGATACTGAAAGAATTCAATTAATTCGATCTCTCATATTATTTCCAGCAAATCTACCACTTTTTGGTATTTTTAAAATGCTTATCAGTTGTGAAAACAACAAATCAATAATCGAAATTTCCTGCTGAAAGCACCAATGGATTTTATTGGATTGCGTATGTTTTTCTGCTGCCTCTGTGGAAAGTGAAATTTCTATCTCATTATGAATTCGACGGAGGGCGTTCGTGATTTACGGTTCTTTTAACTGCTCTTCCGCAGTGCCACACGTATAGAAAGTCAATTGATACTCCCAGTTCCAAAATAATCGAAATGGGTCACACTTAGTCGGAACACCAATGCCGATAATTGGCTACCGCCCGGATTTCTCCTTGACTATACTCATACCTCATTATGGTAAGAGACTAATTAATTAACTCTCACTTGATCCATCGAC